GGAAGGGGCGAAGACCTTACACTTGGACCGCATTTCAAAGCAGAAAATGTGCTCCGTCGCTACTCCTTTACCAACAAACAGCTCAAGAATATACAATTCGGCCGCTCCGTGGTCGAAAAGGTGGTCGTTCGTCGGTGGAGAGCGTGAGAATACCACCAGAAATGGTCCATCAGAAATAGCCTACAATACCGCAATAAGCTTGCGATATCCATGTAAAAAGAACCCGAAAATATCTTTAAGTGTGATACGTGATACAAGAGAAAATGATAATCATGTTCGTGAGGAGTGAGAGGTTTTGTCGCCTGCAAGCCTGACGTGAGTCTGTTGATCCTTGAACCACGAAACTCCACGAAACCAAGAATCTCTTCAGAGTTTCTCAGATTTCCTCATATTCTTCACACTCTCACTCAAATCCTCGCCTAATGGCCGCACACAACTCTCCGTTGCCCGCCGACCTCGCTTCCCTTTCTCACGAATGGAGGTCGTGGTTCTTCCACTACGCGGCAGAGTTCAGGATGGAGGCCCGCATCTTGATTTATGGAGTCCAACTGCTGTTGGGTCTTCTCGTCGACCCTCTCCCACCATTCCCGTCTGCCAATGTGACCCATGCGGCACCCTCTTGTCTTCGGTTCCGACCCACCCAAGCCGCGACCCCGCACCAAATCGAGCCCACAATGTGCAAGAACCTCGTTTACGTTAAGTCGTGGACAGCGGGAGCCGTGGTGACCGACGCTGATGGGGCGGTGATGGTGACGTTTGCACCAGGTTACATGCTGTATGTGGGGCCGACGGCCGACATGTTGATACGGAATCAATCGCTCTAAGGATGCTTGAGGGACTTGGGGCCTCCTCTCACCAGAAAACTGGATGTCCTAATCGCTCAGTCCCAGCTTCTTTGCCTGCTGGACGACAGTGTACGGGAGTCGAAAGTGACGAACACGGACGTGGAGTGGCTGCAAGCGGTTGTGGCATTCGTGGAGGAGTCGGCTACATACGTTCACCTACAACGTGCCTTGGCGGCATGTCGTGCAGTCTGGACCAACGACCATGGTGGCTGCTCCATTGCGAACTTTGACATACCCCGTCTCCCTCAACGATTGTCATCTTCCTTTGTTCCGAGTCCGCGAGACGCGGCCCTGTTTTCAGAGTGCTACGTGGCTGACGTTGACTCTCGAGAAGGTGGTGGTCGTGGACTTCAGCCGGTACCCAATGTGCTCGAGCACCTTGAACCACTTGAAAGAGGTGTTGAATGCGTAGCGGAGCGAGATAGCGAGCGCCTGGTGGACTGCTCTGGCGGGGATGTTGCGTTAGTCGAGAATGAGAACGATGACGAGGCCGAATTACTCACTGAAGTGCTCCTCGCGGATTCTCTTCTAGGCGATCATCGGCCAATTGGCCGATCGTACTCCTCCCGCCTCACCCATGAGGCCATGAGAGGTAACCGGTGGTTCAACTCCCGCACGGAAGAGGAACAGGAGGCCAAGCTGAAGGAAGTACACGCGCGGATCAGCAAAGAACTGCAGACACGATTAAATGTTGGGTTGTGGCTGGGAACGCTGTGGAGGCCCAACAAAAGCGGGCCATGAAGGAGGAAAAAATGAGAATACAGAAGTCGTTGACGGAGAAGCGAGGCAGGGTCATGTATTCTGCGCAACAACACACTGCACGCTCCGGTCCCCTTTATTCAAGCACACGTCCGGGAAGCCAGGCGCAGATGATGTGAAGGCTGGCGGGCGCCAGGGTGGGGAATCGGGGGACACTAATATCATTATTGTGCAGAATACATGACCAACTGCAACTCAACTGGTCGCCCCGGCCCTCTTCACCAGGCACACCGCCCCTCCTCTTGCAGATGGTGCTTCACGGTCGTGGATTATTAAAAGTCATTGTAAGTTTGAGAACGTCGTGGGGGCGTTCTTCTGTCGAGTTGTGTAGAATGTTCCTCAGGCCATCCGATCAGTGTTCACTTATTGTGGGGTTTTGTCACTGCTATAGAGTCTCAATAGACCAGATAGAAGAACGTCGGCTTTCGTCTCGAAATAGATCCATTCTTCGCAGCTCTTATTGCTCGCCTTCTGGCGTTCGTTGTGGGACTGGGGTCGTTTACCGTACAATCACATTTGTGGAGCCTCATAGAGTCACGGTGCCATAGAAGTTGATTGAAGAACGCGACTCCCGTGCTTTTCTTCACCCACCTTGTAGCAGGCGAGTTTAATTATTCGCTCACCCAGCCCCCCACCTTCATTTGGTGTCGCAGCACGCTTGTGCTGGGGTATTCCTCACAGCGTCGTACTGAGATCTGAGAAGTGCGACCGAGGAGGCTTAGAAGTTAATTTTGGAAGGGTCGGCTTCTGGATGTACGTGTGGGCTTGATGATTGGATAGGGGGAGGGGTGTGAGTCAATGGAAACAGGAGGACGAGGTGTCACCAGCGCCACGAACTACACCCGCGCTGCCGCACAAGTCACTGATCCGGTCCGCACTTGTCATTTACTCTTATTTCGAGGCAGTAGTCGTGGATGGAGGTGGTGCCTGTAGTAGGGTTATGACGTTGGGAAGAATAGTCGACCCGGCATTTCGCCTGCGTTCAAAAAGCAGTCAATGTGTTCCGTCGCTGCGCTTGTACCAACAAATTACAGACAATTACTCAGTCTGACCCGTTCCGCGGACGTAATTGTGGCCGTTAGTGTTACGACCTCGCATCCCTTTGATCTCACGAATGGAGGTCGTGGCGACTCCATTAAGGCAACAGAATTCAGAATAAAGCTCCGCGTCTTGACTTACGGAGCTCAACTGCTGCTTGGCCTTCTCGCCGACCCACTCCCACCATTCCCGCCTCCCGGTGTGCCCCATTCGACCCTCTTCTCTCACCGGTTCTGGCACACCCATGCGGGACCCCGCACACATTCGATCCTACGACCTGTAAGCACCTCGTCTACATCAAGTCGTAAACAGCAGGAGCCGTGGTGAACCGCGTGAGCGGAGCCTGTGTGGTGACGTTCGCCCCTCGGCACCGACCGCGGGTGTCTGGCTATTGTAATACAAGACACCATTGAACAAATTAAAGGAATTTGATACTACAGCTGAACGCATAATTCACATTTAAGAACCCTCTCAGACCAGTCCTAGCCCTTTGCCAACCTCCAATGCAAAACACACCCTGACAAGTCACACCAACTTCACCCGTACCACTAGAACATCCACCGTCCGCGTCTCCACCAGTCCAAACTCGTTCTCCTTCCTCACCGCACCATGTCTGACCTCTGCCTCCACCGGTCGTGCTCGAGGGGGTGGTGCGGTGGGCGGAGACGTGGCACGTTGCGCGGCAGGTGATGTGGGCCCAACAAGGGTCGAGGTGTAGCCATGCGAAGTCGAGCGGAGAACGTCGCCAAGACGGGAAGAGGACCCGGAAGGCTGGCGGGTCGTGCTCGGACCGGACTCGCTTACTGACGACCCAGACTTCTGCGTCCGAAGGTACACGCCAGGTGATGCCCCTGTACCGTCCGTACCGATCTTCTGGGCGACTTTAACTTCAAGCTTGGCCATCACTTCTGGTCTCATGATGACTTGCAATGTCGGATGCCGCGCCGTGAATCCTGCATTCGGGTCCAGGTGAACCCACTCGACAGCTGCGGAAGAGTTGCGGGGAAGGAATTCGTCGGTCGCCGTGGGTGCCGAGAGGGTCACGTACGATGACGAAGAGGTCGCCACGGGGAGGGAGGGGTTCGTGGGGAGATCCGAGAGGAAGAATTCGACCTTGTGGGTGAAGGAAGAGAGAATTTGTCAATGGCTAACGCACGGGTGAGGCCAAACAAGAGACAACATACTTCATTATGACCCATTCGAGCATGCGAAAGCGCGAGAGGGACAATGTCTTCTACTAGTGCGTCGAGA